AGCAGGTTCCTCCAAGCCTCATCCAGCCTGGCCTTGACATATGTGATGCTGTGCCAAATAAAGTGTCCAAATACCTCTAAATTACTCAATGAATATTTATATGTACATAGATGTTAACCGCTTTAGAAAGAACGCTGTTAAACATTGCATTCCAAAATAATCTCAAAAAATATTATTTTGGTGCACACGTTGCTTCCAGAGCAATCATTAATGACATTAAAATGGACTTAATCATAGTATGTAAATACATTTCCAAACAGCACTTTAATAAAAGTGAACTGTTGATGTCCCACCAACAATGCTAATGTTATTTTCAGAAATAAGTTTAAAATACGTCTGGATTTTTAATAAGTTCACCTTGTGCAACTTTTTATTGGTTTAATTCCTTAGTAAACTGACTTGGGCAGTAATGTCTTGATCTCCAGGTCAGGTGATTAAATTCAAGAACACTGTTAGTAGATGCATCAGGATGATTTTTCATAGAATCACAAACTGGTTTGTGTTGGAAGGGACCTTAAAGCGCATCTAGTTCCAACCCTCCTGCCATGGGCAGGGACACCTTCCATAGCCCAGGTTGCTCCAAGCCTCATCCAGCCTGGCCTTGGACACTCCCAGGGATGGGGCATCCACAGCTTCTCTAGGAACCTGTCCCAGTGCCTCACCAAGCCATACTGACATTTACAACAGAATTCCCTTTGTCTTTGCATTTTAACAAACTGTGATTTTGATTTTCCTTCTACTTCCTTTGTGTAGAGTCAGTTATTTCCATGATGTGTTTGGTTGTTCTTATTGCAGCAAGCAGAATCTTTCTAACCCTGCCTTTCTAACCTCTGCTGCCGTGTGTTTTCATCCCTGTGCAATCTCTGCGTCTAGAGCTTTAATGCTGTTCAGCTGGTGGATATTGAGCCCTCACCTGTCAGTGCTATGAGAATGACTATAGCAGAGGTATCTGGGGTATTTATGATCAGCCTTTGGCATTTGGGTCGTTATCGGTATGCATGTGGCTCGGGATGCTGAATTTACACTCATGTTGAGGGTGGCAACCTAATGCATAATATATATATATATATATAAAACGGGGAAAAAAAGCTTTTTCAACACTGAAACTTAAGTTAAAGGAGGGAAAAGCAATTTAACTGCGTTATTTATGGGGATCAGCCTCACACTTCTCTCTTGCACTCGCGCAGCACTTGTAATTGCTACTCTAATCTTTTGAGGGCATGAATTAAAATTTCACAGCTCAAGATAGTGATGTGTATAATTGGTTACTTCTCTAACGTGAATGGGGAGGCTTGTAGAACAACTGGAGACTGTTAGTGTGCACTGATGAAATGCAGGCCCATTACTAATTTAATTCCGTTCTTTTTCCAGAGGGCTATCCCCCTGTAAAACAGAACTGTAATTCGCTCTTATTAAACTCTTCAACATGAAAAATGACATGATGCTTTGACGCGGCGCTTGTGTGGTCTGACACTGAACAGGAGCGCTGCTTGTGCTGCTGCACCTCAGGAGCTTTTTAGAAGGCAGTGGATGGGTCGTTCCTGTCTAAAGCCGGCTCCGTACGCCAGATGCCGTGACTTTATTGCCTAACCCACCTGGGCTGTCAAACTCCTGCGTTTCCTCATTGCACTGCATTTTTTGAGCTTCTAGTTGCTTACGCTGTCACCAGTTTTCACAAAAATAAATAAATTATGCAGGCTTCTTTACGATCCATAAAATTAATCACAGGTTACACCTTCACCGTTTTTAATCAATAAGTACAAGAGAACAAGGGCTTTTGCTTACGCTTTTGAATTTGTCAGAAATTGTATGTTTTCTAATAAATCAACATTCAAATGAGGAGCAATTATCAAGCATTCTTTTGCCATGTACTCTCTTTGTAGATGATCTGCCGAGATCATCGCTTGGCTTTTAGTTTTTGTGGGTTACGCATGATAATTTTCACACCGAAACTAACTCTGAAAAAATAATTAGAATAATTAATGCGTCTAATCAAATGTTTAATGTTAACCTTTTCCAAGCATTATGGCCTCTCTTCAAATTGCATACCTGATCCATTGTGACTGTGGTCAAAGTTTGGAGCATTTAAATATCACTGGAAGAAAATTTTGAGTATTGTAGGCAAGAAGAATGTTACAAACAGCGTGGATGTGGGACTCACCTACCTGGAAAACTCTAAATGCTTTCGTAAATTCTGCTTTTACATGGTCCATCTCCAAATTTCATTTTATGAGGGGAGGGCTGTTGCCAAAGAGTAACGCAGACGGGACTGCCATGCAATGCCTGAGGGGGGTACAAAACCCACAGCTCAGTTTACTTTCAAAATACTCCCAGTATGCACAGTCAGAGCCTCTGAGTGAGACTGTTCCTCAGAAAGGTGGTTATGAAGTGGTTTTCCATCCGTTTTCAGGATTTTTGTTTCCCCACCATCACACTAACACTGGCCAAAATGTAGAGTGTCCATAGATGGAGCCCACTACAAAATATTCTGCTTTGATCAGCTCTTTTCCATTATCTAAAAAATTGTTTTGAGCTTAACTTGATACCTGTGTTCATGTCACTAAATTATTTCATTTGTTTCAGCGTCTTGCTAATTTTCACTGACATAAATTCATTTTTTATAAAAAAGGTTTTTAAAATTTTGTACAACAAACCGTTTTCCTTTAAGGAAAACTTGTATTCCATTACTACTGACGATGTGTGTCTTGCTCTGAAATACTGAACATGTTAATTGGTGGATTATTCCCTGGATACAGGCTTTGCTGATCCCATCTCTTGGACTTTCAGCATTTGCTGTAGGTCCACGCTGCAGGAATTAGTGCAGGAAGGAGAGGTGAATCCAGAGTAGACACTCTGGATCAAAAGCCATGCACGTGCTTCAAAAGTAGCTTGAGTGTTAAACTTGTAAGCAATTTGTTAGCACTTGAGTAATTTTCCTTTAAGGAAATGGTTTGTTTTAAATGTATTCAGTAGGAAATCATTGATAAATTCCCAACCAGTTTTAATCTTTTCAATAAATGACTGCACCAAAGAGGCTCAGCCTTTACAAACAGCAAGAGGAGGGCCACGAAGATGCTCCGAGGGCTGGAGCCCCTCTGCTGTGATGAAAGGCTGAGAGAGTTGAGCTTGTTCAGCCTGGAGAAGAGAAGGCTCCGGGGAGACCTTATAGCACCTTCCAGTGCCTGAAGGGGCTACAAGGAAGCTGGGGGGGACTTTTTACAAGGATCTGTAGTGACAGGACAAGGGGGAACGGGTTTAAATTGAAAGTGAGGAGGTTTAGATTATATACCAGGAAGGAATTCTTCACGGAGAGGGTGGTGAGGCACTGGGACAGGTACCCAGAGAAGCTGTGGATGCCCCCTCCCTGGAAGTGTC